AGACAGGCAGTGCCCAGCCGTGCGGTGGCCTGGCGACGCTTCTCCTTTGCTTCTGCCGCCCCATTTCCTCCAGATTTAGACCCAAGAAGCTGCCCCACGCGCTTGGCCCTGAGCATCACCGGAGATCCACCCCGGCCCTGCGGGGTCCCCGACCCGCAGCACCCAGCAGTCAGCTGGGCAAGTGCAGAGGCCAGCACGCCCCGCGCTGCAGGCACAGCCAGAAAATCCTCGGAGAAGATGGAAGGGAAAGGGAGAGGACGAGGAGCTGCAAACCCGCACCTAGACAGCCTGGAGAACCGGCAGCTGCCCCCGGCACCGGGACGGGACCAGCCCCCCCGGCCGCCTCCGCTCCCTAAAGCGGCCGCATCTGGAACAAACGCGGGGTCCGACCCCTCACGGCCCCACGCGCTGCAAGAGGCTGCGGCCAAGAAGTTTCACTGTCAAGGAGGATCCAGCAAACTCACCCGCCGAGCCTCCGAAGCCACTGCACGGGACCAGGCGCGGCAGCCGGGTTTGCCGGGCCATCACCCGCTGCTTCAGCGTCCCCAAACCCCCACCGTATTTACCTGCCTCCAGCTCAAGGGCTTCTGTCCTTGTTGGAAGAATTTCCGCAGCCCTGGATGCTTTCATCAGAAATCTTTTAAAGTTATTCACTTAGCGCTATGCTAATGCAGCGCTCTAAAACAAACCAAAACCTCAACCTTAAAAACTATTTTCTGATATTTGACCAGACATCAGACGTTGCTCCACAGAGAGTGACTAATGACCTGCTTTCTATGAGAGGGGGGAAAAACTTAATTATGTCCATTAAATTACTTCAAATATTTTTCCTTAGAGAATATGAATTATTTAAACTCAACACAGAGAAATCTGAAACATTAGCAAAAGCCTTCTGGGACTCGCTATGTAAATTCCCACTCCAAACAGATGGGGAGAGCGTGGCAAGCTGCCACGCAGGCACTGAAGCAATGAACAGCGGTGAGATTTCAATTCGATAGTTTTAATAAGGTCTTCTTAAGGAGAGCACCAAGCGAAGAGCCACGACCCGGAGCGCCAGGAAGGCTTCTCACCTCCGGGGGGAAGGCGGCAACGTTGGCCCAACTTCAATCGGAACAGCCCCCAGTGGCTCCTCAAGGACAGACCCGATTCCTCAGGAAAAGCTGGCTCTGCCAGCGCACCAACACGGGGAGCTGCGCCTCTCCGGGACGCGGTCATCTCTTCCGCTCAATCTCTTTTTTACCAAGCGAAAAGAGAGAGGCCCAAGGTATCACCTGGGCACCAGGCACGGGCAGCAGAGGCTCCTTTCGGGCACATCTTACTGAAGAGAACGTCTCCCCGCGCAGTCCCAGCTGGTGGCCTGACTGCCCCTCCGCCCCAGAGCAGCCCCGCGCGCAGGGCAGCCGCTCACGCTGCCAGTTAATGGCCGATAGCTAATTACACCTCCCAGGGGAGAAAAGCCCCCGGTGCTGGCGGCCAGAGGCACAGCCGCTCCCGGGGGGAGACACACGCACAGAGCGGCCCCCGCTCGCCCGGGACCACCGCCGGCTCCTGCGGGCCCAGAGGCCGCTGAGCCCACGCTGAGCCGGGACTAGGGAGGGAAGGTGCCCGGGGGAGGCATCAGCCTGGCACCTCTCCCCTCTCAGCTCAGACGCTCCGAGAGAGGAGCGCGGCAGGCGGCGTCCCGGCTCGGGGCTGGTCCCACGCTCAGGGCTGGGCCCGTGCCCGGCGCTCGCCTGCCTTTGGACACGAGATCAAAGCGGTCACGGCACCAGGTCCATGAGTGGGGTGCCGTTACGGTAGAGGTCATACCCATTCTCACAGCTGTCATTAAACGTAACCTTGCGAGCCGTAAAGTCGCTGAATTATTAAATTGTGTCTAAAGCACGGCAATGGGGACGTTAATGTTCTGGGGTAGTTTTACAGTTACAGATAAAGCTGTGGGAAATGCCTGACGGTATTCACAGCCTGGGCACTTCTGCCAGCCAAGGTCGCGCTGCCAAGCAGCTACCAGCAACGCGCCCCGCTGAGCCGGTGGCCACCCCTGTGGCTCAAGGCCTGGCGGGTAGCTGGAGCTGTTATCCAGCTGTTATCCAGCTGTAGCTGGGGAGCTAACGGAATCGCGTCGCCAACAAAAGGCAGTTTCATTTGTCTGAGCTGTGCCCGGACACCGGGCAGACGGGAGCAACCTGGCAGCGACACCGACAAAAACAGAGGACACCGGCGGCCACTTTTACCTCTGCATCCCCCGTCCTTCTCCTCGAAGCCGGGGCCGCAGGTGCACTTCCCTATGGGGACCAGCCACTCGCCCTCGGCGCTGCAGTGCATCCTGGGCGGATTATCCACGTCCACCTCGGCGTGAGCGACGCAAGTGCCCTTAACCTCCACCAAAGTCGCGAAGGCCGTCTCTGCCACCGTGTCCGGAAAGACGGCCAGGTTCTGCACGGTGGCGAGGCACTTCTTGTAATAGACCCGCACGGAGACCAGCGCCACGCAGGCGCCCACGTCCTGGAAGCCCAGGTGGAAGCCTCTCTTGCTCAGGTGCCCAATCTCCCTCAGCTCGGTGTTCAGCTTCATCTTGCGCTCGCCCAGGTCCCCCTGCGTGAAGCTCTCATCGGCAGCGATGGTGTCGATCTTGGTGTGTTTGCTCTCACGGACGCTGCGGCCCAGGTCAGCATCAGACTCGACGTAGTACAGATTGAAGGTCTCCTTGCAGGTGCCCGTCACGCCAGGGATGCTGTTGCAGTCCCGCAGGGTGAACTTCAGCTCGATGAAGATCCTCTGGCCGTCGCGCCGGGCAATCCAGCCCGTCTGCAGCCAGTTGTTCTGGTTTGGCTCCATGACGTTGCAGACCTGGTACGTGCGTATCGGCTTGTAGTTCTCATCCACACCACTGATTTCTTCCCACTGGGGAAAGAACACAACGGGCTGTAACAGCTCGGGAGCTGCCGTGAGCAAGAACCAGCCACCCCGGCAGAAACACACCGATGGGTATAAATATCACCACCACAAGCCTCTCCACCTACAGGCCATTATATCATCGGCACGCCGAGTCCTTAGCCCACCAAAACCAGGAGCTGCAGCGTCGCGGCGGCGCTGCCGGACCCCCTCGCACCCGAGGTGCAAACACGGGGACACAACCAGAGAGAGGGCGCTGGCACCAGAGCTCCTAAAGCAGAAGTCTCATACGAAACTGGGCACGCCACCTCCTGAGAAGCCAGAGCCTCCATCTCCCAGGCGTGCTGTGGATGTTCCGTCCCCGGGAAGGTCCGCACAGCGTTACCGCGTAACGCCAGGCGGGGCTGGGCTACCCGCAGCAGCCCAAGGCGGCCGAGGAGGCGTGACACCAGTCACGGCATCACACCAGGGCAAACGTCTTCGTGAACAGCAGCTTCTCTGCGAGCAGAAGTTTTAGCTGGAACGGGACAAATCCTCTGGCTGCAAGGGAAACGGTATTTCCCCAAAGTTACCAGCAGAGATTCTGATTACTGAAACGATGATTCAACCCTCGCAGCCTTAAGGATGACCTGGCAACTTCCCAAAGCAATTCTTTCTGTGGGTAAATTTATGCAAGATTGCCAAACGCACCCAAAACAGAGTTTCTTCTGCAGACTAACAGCTGGGCAGCACAGACGACTCCAGGATCTCTCACTACTCCCTCCAAACGCTTTGTTTCCGTGCCGGGAAACGAACCCAAAGCACCAAGAAACGCGGCGTCTCCCGACCCGCCCTCCCGCGAGCGGCTACAGCCC